CATAGGCCAAGCAAATTTAGCCTCTCCTGATAAGACAAATGCTTTAGACCGTCGACCATCTTTGTCGCTCTGCGTTGCACCTGTTCGAGTAAGTTGACATCCTTCCTCATCCATGGTGAAGCTGCTGGCATTCCATACTCTAGATGAGGTCTTACAAAGACACCAAAGAGTCTTCCGAAGAGTTCGGGAGGAAATATTTTAAATGCACGTCTGATCCAGTGTGGAGTACTAGTTGCCTTCTGGACCATCTTTCTGCAGTGTTCTGATGGCGATAGATTTGTGGTCGTCCATACACCCAGATCTCTGTGTCCTTCCACAGTTTCTAACCTCGTACCGTCAATATAGTACTGGTGTTTGGAAGAGGCATTGCGGCCGGTGTTCAGGTGCAAAACCACGCATTTGGACACGTTAAACTTCGAAAGCCATCTGTTCGACCAAGCACACAGTTTGTTGATGTTCGACTGCAACTTCTCTGCGTCATCATCACACTTGACTTCACTCCATATTTTTATGTCATCCGCGAACATGAGAGCCTCGCAATTCACTTCGCTGATACAGTCATTAACATAAATCAGGAAGAGTACTGGGCCTAAGACAGAACCCTGTGGGACAGCACTTTCCACCTTTACCCATTCCGAGGTAGAATTACTAACGACGACTCTTTGTAGTCTGGAGGACAGAAAACTCCTGATCCACTTAAACATTCTCCCTTGAATCCCTACATCCCAGATCTTTTGTAAAAGAAGCCTGTGTGGGACACTGTCAAAGGCCTTCTTGAAGTCAAAAAATATGACATCTACTGGGAAACCTTTATCGGTAACTCGTGTCCATTTCTCGTGCGAGTAAAGAACACTTGTTAGGCAGGAGCGTTCTGGACGAAAGCCGTGTTGGGCATCGCACAATATTTTGTTCTGTTCCAGGTACTTCATCAAGTGTCTTTTGATAAGGCGTTCCATTATTTTACACGCGATGCAAGTAAGACTGACAGGACGATAATTTCCGCAGTCAAGTCTTGAGCCTCCTTTATGGATCGGAGTAGTAAGTGCACACTTCCATTCTTCCGGTAGCTCGCCGTCTTCAAATGACTTTTGAAATATTGTGGATAAGGGTTTACACAGTTCATTAGCAAGTTCGCGAAGTGCTAGGGCGGGAATTCTATCTGGGCCAGGCGATTTGGCAGGTTTCAGCCGGAGTAGCTCGGCCCTAACTATGGTAGATGAAAAGAGTGGTTCCTCGGTTAAGGAGGGTAGGGAGGGGATAGGATGGGGAAGGGTACTGGGAGGAGAGGTTGTTTGGCGAATGGATGGATGGGCAAATATAGCACTAGGTTCTCGGGTGAAGACGGACTGAAAGAAGTCGGAAAGGAGGGACGCTTTAACCTGGTCATCAATCTTCACTTTTCCATCTGCAGACCTGAGGGCAGGGATTAGCTCCTGAGTCCTTTTAGTTCTTCGTATAAAAACCATATAGAATTTTCGGATGCACCAACGAATTTCGGAGTATGTTCAGTTCAAACTTCTTTCGCAGCTTTGAGGCCTCACTTTTACAGACGTTTCGTTGCCGCTTATATTCCTGTAAGTGTTCGTCGGAGCCAGTTTGTCTGTAACGCCTCCACAGACGATTCCTTTTTCTGAAAGAGGCCTTCAAGTCCGGGGTTATCCATTTTGGGCGGTTTGTGATTGTCTTCCTTCTAAGAGGACAATTGGAATAGACAATCTCTTTCAGTAAGGAACTGAAAGTATTCCAGTTATCGTTTGCTCGACCATGCAGTTCAGTCTCCCATGATATAGCTGCCGC